AGATTGAAAAGAAATGTTTGAAAAGTCGTGTATCGCGATAGCTAGAGATTCTTTACAATCGAGATATCGTATAAGCGATTCAAATAGGAGGCAAAGAGAAAGAGAGCAGGTGAAGTCTTATTTTCTTTTTCGTTTAATTAGACTCGACTTGACTCGCGAAACTATTTAAATTCTCGGTTGTCTCTATATTTGGTCTTTTTTTTCCAACGAGCAGCGAACGACACGCTGCCCGGAGACATTTTCTGGGTACACGCGAGCTTGAACGAAAGATAGAAAAGGGGCACGGTTTATTCGGCTGAAAAGACTGGTGAGGATCATCCTAGATACTGGAAAGGGCGGCAAGGGTAGAAAGAAGGAGTGCTTTGATGCAAATAACGGAGAGCTCGGTGGCAGATAGACACGCGCGCGCACTCTTCCTACTAATCGAAAATTCTTTTTTCCCTTCTCATCCCCTATTCAAAGTTTACCTCTTTTCCATCTTGGCATCCGTGTTCCGTTCGGCGAGATCGAAACTCGACGCGAAAGCAACGCAACTGATTAAATGAAAATTCTTCGTTCGAGAATTCGTCTCGCGAGGCAACCGTTTCGTTACGAGGCGGAAAATTGAAGTTTCGTTCTCCGTGGAAAGCGGAGAACGCGAAGGGACAAAGTAATAGAGTGAAACGGAGCGAAATCGTTGGAAATTTTGTATCGCTGAGCGATCAGCGAGCTACGTTTTCCAGAAGCGACGAAAGTATTAAGAGAAATATGTAGACATTTACATTTTACCTTTAACGTATATCCCTGGCGTGCAACGGATTGCCGGCGGAAATTCTTGAATTCGTTTAACGAACATAACGCGTCTCTGTGTGCTTTGAAAGCGAACTCTTTCTCAGCGCTTGAACGACCTACTTTGCGTCGCTCGTTAGCTACTTCAACCCGTAGACTTGCACGTTGTTTTAAAAATGTCAACGTTACCGACTAAAGACAGGATGCTTGTTCAATTGGACAGAGTTTATGTAGCCCGTAGCTTCCAGTTGGTTTTTCGAGGAAACAGACGGAGGGTAGAAGGGAGACTTTGTCGCGGGTTGACGAGCAATTGGCAGAAAGAGGAACGTGACGGCTGCCAAATCGACGACTCGTCTGACTCGCGAAATCCTCCAGAGAATCGTTCGACGCGCGGTTTACGTGACGTTCGTCTACGTGCATTCGGATGATTACGAAAGGAAAGAAGTGGAAGAATCTTGGAACGCGTCGCTGGTGGTTGGTAGTGGACGATTAGATTTTTAGTCGAATGCTCGTTTCAAGGTCCAGACGGAGACGGAGACGGACGGAGCATTCTTTCTCGGAGACGAGGTATGCGCTCTCTAAATAGATGCGAAGCTCAGCGGAGACAGTTTGAATCCGCGTTGATCGTTTTTTTCTGTTTTCTTTTCGCGCATCGAATCGTGTTTCGTTGTCATCGCATGCTCGAGCTATCTTTAAAGTATGCCGACGGTGTAGCGGTTTGTCGTAAAACTTTTAGCGACAAGATTCGCATCGTGGTTCGTCGCTCGGATTTTCTCGAGGCGAAAGCAGAGGACAACGTACGAAGGAAACGAAGAAGCGGAGTACGTAGCAGACGGAGAAAATGCTTGTTCGAGGGCATTTATTTTCGGCCAATTAGCGGCGTTCCTCGACGAAAGCCGCTTCTTCGCGAGTTGCATAACTCGTCGGGCAACGAGATGAGCGAAAGAAACGAGCGCGGCGCGAAATAGAGAAAGAACGGACGGAGAAGACGCGGCGACGGCACGCGACACCCTTGGCTTCGTTTGGCTTAACTTTCCTCCTTTTCTTACGGGGCCACAATTCGCCTCTTTTTTAACCGAGATCGAGACGGTTAATCCTGGCCAATGCGACGCGACGCGCCTTTCCACCTTTTGCTCTCTCTACATTTTCCAGCCTCGTTCGTCGTTGGGAAATTGTTGAAATTTGCCGCCGAAAACAGTTTGCTTGCCGAGAGATCAAAGAAGACGTCACGGCGTCGCTGTTACCCACGTATTCGAATAAATTTAATTTGAGACGGTAGCCATTGCTGACCTCCGACCTATATTTCCCGCGTTACTTCATTATGTATCGTCACGCGAAGCAACTCTATCCAAAATAGGTGGAAAATACGGAAGAGCCGTATTATTCTCGTTCGGTATTTACTTGTGTATATCGGTCCCGGAAGTAGGTAGGCGAAAATCGAGTATCGATTTCGTGGCGGGTCTGGTGGAAATTAGCCGCGATGAAACGGAACGAGGAGACTGAAATATGGAACGTATATTAAGGTAGAAGACGACTGGGACACGCGTGTCAGTGTCGATTCGATGGCATAGGCAAGGAGGCCGAGTTGGGTGGTCGCGGTCGACTTGAAAATTATTCCGCAGAACGAACCACCCTGCGAATACGCGTCTCCACTTGCTTTGCCAGCGGCCAATTATCGTCGCGAGTCGGCTCGCGAGAAGCAAACGTTTCCTCGGTTTCTCGTTTACGGACCATTTCGATCGTTTTCCGTCTTCCTTCTCCCCCGTTTCCCCTCTTTGCGAAATTTCGGTCGACGAACTTTGCGAATTTCTCCTCTACACCGGAGCTTGCCGCTTCCCTCTTTACCCCTCTGTCGCTTTTCACAGCCTACCACCGCTCCGTTGCTAATTACTCCCGTCATCCGCGGAGGTGAGACGCGTTCCACGACCTACCCGGAATACCGATTGAAATTAATTACCGTGACGAGGTACGCGACCAATTTAACCTTCGATAACGAACATCCAACATCCCTTTCTTCTTCCCACAATTAGACTCGTTACCCCCTTTCAAACAGACATCGAAAAAAAATGCCCCTCCGTTGAGGAGCAGTAGCTTTTTTATCGCCAAGATTGAAGATGGCTGGCTAAATGCGAGAGCTAGATCTGTTGATTTGCATTCCTTCGGGCAGGAAGAGAGACGACATCGATAATCGTTGCGTTATCGAGGCGAGACACCACCACCGCTATCGACCCTTGCGTCCTTTGCGTCCTTTATTCGCCAGCCTTTCGTATCGTATCGTATCGTATCGTATCTCTTTGCTCGTACATCACCTCTGACAACTTGAAACCGGTATTTATGCTGCCCCGAGTTCATTGAACCCCTCCGTTTATCCTGCCTTCGCGGAGCTCCGATTCGTTCCGCGGGGAAATCTTTCCTTCGTTAGCTTTTTCCCCTTTGTCCAGCAAGTTCCTAGTTGGTATATTCGATCGACGAAAAACAGTTAAAACTTTACAGCCCCGTCGCACGAATTATCGCGACCAAGTTTAATCTGGAATTAGCCGATTTCTAAGCTGGTGGATCGGTGGAAAACGAAGGGACGAGATTGCATCGTGCCGTTTTCCACGCGTTTCTCCAGGTCGCCGCGTAATTACGCAAATGAATTGAAACGGTAGCTTGCGCTAGCGCTATTCCGCAAAGAATTAAACGGCGATAATCCTAGGAGACGGTGCAATTACTTTGGCCGCAGATAAGAGAAAATGGGCTACCGGCAGAGGGAGAATGGAATCGCGTTCTACCGGAAAAGAGGAGCACTCTGTCCTCTGGGAAATATGTGTTGCTTCGAGGAAAATTTAATATTCGTTTCGACATTCGCGATTCCCTCGATTCCATCTGACCCAACTTTTAGCTTCTTTGCTTCGATTTGACGTCGCTCGATGGTGGTCACCACCTACTCGTCCTCTGCACCTTGTCGCAAACTGATCGCTGCGTTTCTTTGCTTGCAGATCGTTGTCGCTTCGAGGCCAACGACTTTTGGAACCTTCACAATGGCAGCACGTTTATGGTGAGTATCTAGAGCAGACTATGCTTCCACTGAAAAGGGAAAAGGGAAAAGGGAAAAGGAGAAACAAGTCTTTTGAACTGCCAAAGATATACGAGACAATCTCCGAATCTCCCTCCATCCATCGGAATCTCATAGGGACAGCGGTCCTAAATCATAGATGTTCGCACAGAATCCTCGGTTACGCGTCTTTGGCTCGAATCTCGACTCTCTTAAATCCTTCTTGTCCCATGAGTTATGCCGACGCGAAGACGACCAAAGCAACTTCGTCGATGCAAAGTCGGTGGTTGTGCGTACACGTTGGAGGCGGTCCAACCTAGCGTGCTAAGGAATCCGAGTCTCCTACTGGTATCTGCTCGAATTGCAATTTAACTCGATGAAATAATTAGGAAACGGTTAATCCGCGAAAGGAGCAAGGCTCTCGGTTCGAATGCAAACGTTTCGTGGGCGGTCTAAGAAAATGGTAAGGCGCGAGGAAAATGATGTAATTGGTAGCAGGTGGCGGGCAAAGCGCGTCGCAAAGCGCGTCGCGACGCGGACCAGCAGACAAAATAGATGATGGAAAGGAAGGTGGTTGAGCGAGGCAGACAGGAAGTTAGCGAGAAAAAGGTTAGCGCGAGTTGTTCTCGATGTCTGGCGGTGCGACGTTTTCTATAAATAACGGCGGGGGAATCCCGAGTTAAGCAGTAAGCAGAAGAAATCGCTACGCTTCCATCAAAGTATTCGCGCGTTCACCTCCTTCTAATTTTGGCCGTCTGACCAAAAACTCTTCGACCGACGCGACGGCCGTTCCTTCTTCTTTTTCTTTCGCGGCCGAGAGAGAACGTCTGGCCGACTTTGCTCCAATTTCTATTTTCGACCAAGACACCGAAACTTGGAGGATCCGATCCGTCTGTCCGTTCCACTTGTCGTCAAAAGGAAAAAGTTTGTCGGTTCAGAGAAAGGAAACTGGCTTTTCCAGAAAAGAATAGGAAGAGTATGTTCGTGACCCATATCCAGCTACCGCCCTTTTTTTTCTCTTTTCATTCGGTCGAAAAGAGAGTATCGTCGACTACTAATCGTCTGTTTACGTACGATTGTGTGACAGACGAAACCGGCAAGCGTGAGAAGCGGGCAAAGCGGCGGCGTCGTCGTCGTCGTCGTCGTCGGTAACGAGAGAGTGGCCAGTGATTAAGACCGAGCGAGAAGCCGGGTGGGCGAGAGAGAGGCGCGAACGTGGCCCGTGCCTCTCCACCGATAGATATCCTTTCAGCCAGCTACGCCGAAACTCGCGTCCAAAGTGGCTAAGAGCGTAAGTCCTCGTCGAGTGCACCAAGAGTGCTCGAGCGGCGGGGAGGTACAGGTACAGGTGCAGCAGGAGAGACGTGCACCGAGGCGCATGCCTTACCTGGGGCCTGATATGACAACCCGGCTGTCCGCCATGTTTTACACGGTCGAAGTCGGGGACACCAGATTCACCATTCTCAAGCGGTACCAGAACCTGAAGCCGATCGGTTCCGGCGCACAGGGAATCGTCTGGTAAGTCTCTTTCCTTCTTCCGATTCGCGGCCCGTTCGACAGACTTTCAGTACCCTCGCTAACCGATTAAAAGGGCATGTAATTTACGTAATCGAAAGCCGATTTAAACTCGCGGGCGACTACTGCAAGGTGTCCAGGGCCGCTCGACTCGCTCGATCGATCTCGCGAATCGTCTGTGTGCGTGTTGTAGCGCGGCGTACGACACGGTGACCGCGCAGAATGTGGCGATCAAGAAGCTCTCCAGACCATTTCAGAACGTGACGCACGCAAAGAGGGCCTACAGGGAGTTTAAGCTGATGAAACTGGTCAATCACAAAAATGTAAGAACCGCGTCCGACCCTCGACACCTCCTACTTCAACATTCGCTCGCTTATCTCTTCCTCCAGATAATTGGCCTTTTGAACGCGTTCACGCCGCAGCGATCGTTGGACGAATTTCAAGACGTCTACTTGGTGATGGAACTTATGGACGCGAATCTTTGCCAGGTGATCCAGATGGATCTGGATCACGAGCGCATGTCTTACCTTCTCTATCAAATGCTCTGCGGAATCAAGCACTTACATTCGGCCGGTATAATTCACAGGGTAAGCGACGCTACTCTGTTTACCGATTCGACTAATTAAGTTCGTTTAATCACGCTCTCTCTCTCTGGTCGTAGGATTTAAAGCCGAGCAATATCGTGGTCAAGTCGGACTGCACGTTGAAGATTCTTGACTTTGGCCTGGCCAGGACCGCCGGTACCACGTTCATGATGACGCCGTACGTGGTGACACGGTATTATAGAGCGCCAGAGGTAACGCGTTTTCTACTTAACTCGTGTAACAGCAAATCAGGCTAGGGTATTAATCCGATTCGAATGGTGGCCAGGTGATTCTGGGGATGGGATACAAGGAGAACGTGGACATTTGGTCGGTCGGATGTATCATGGGCGAGATGATTCGGGGCGGTGTACTATTTCCCGGCACCGATCACATCGACCAGTGGAACAAAATAATTGGTAGGCTGGCTCCCCTTTCGATTCTTCTTTTCCTTCGATTACCGGTAAATTACGACAACCGGGCTTTGCAGAGCAACTCGGAACGCCGGCGCAAGAATTCATGCAGCGGCTGCAGCCGACGGTGAGAAATTACGTGGAGAACAGGCCACGATATCCGGGATATCCGTTCGACAGGTTATTTCCGGACGTGTTGTTTCCCTCGGACTCGTCGGAGCACAACAGATTGAAAGGTGAGAAACGAAACGGCTTCTCGTTGCTCGCGACGAGACGTTGCTTACACTTCTTTTTTTTCCCCTCCACCCCTTTTGCATTTCAGCCAGCCAAGCCAGAGATCTATTGTCGCGCATGCTCGTGATCGACCCCGAACGACGCATCTCCGTCGACGACGCTTTGCTGCACAATTACATAAACGTGTGGTACGACGAGGGCGAAGTGAACGCTGTAAGTATGGAGGAGATCCGTCGTTAACCCGTTAATCGAGAGTGGTTTTTCAAGTAGAAAAAAAAGAAAAGAGAACGATAAGATCCTTCTTATCGGACGCGGTGAATTTATTTCAGCCTGCACCAGGACCGTACGACCACAGCGTGGACGAGAGGGAGCACACGGTGGACCAGTGGAAGGAGCTGATCTACCAGGAGGTGATGGAGTACGAGACGAGTCACAATCCCGCGACGGTGGCTCAGACGTCCGAGAGCGGCGGCTCCCGGTAGACACGGAGTAAAACATTGCCAGCATTCTCCTCGAGGACGAATCTAGACTGTCCGATTTATCGTACACCTGATACGATGGGATGCAAAGAAGGGAAGAAGCGAGAAATAGAAACCGTTCACGTCCATGGGAGAGACGTACGTTAAACGAAGCGGCGTTTTCGTTCGAGACGAAGATGGGAAGACGGGGGGGCGAGGCAGACAAGAGGTTTCTTTTTCCTTTTCCGAAAAGGGAAGAATTGCGACGAGAGCTTCGCTCCGAAGATGCCGTCTGAACGCGAGTGTACGAGGCATAACGAGCGCGCGTTGCGAAAACCTACGCTCCTCTATCCCCGTAACCAAAGCACACAGACAGTCTTCTTGCTCCTCTTTCCTCCTCCGAGATATTCCTCCTCCGTACAGGAAACGCGCATTCGTTCGCAACGAACGTTCCCCGCTTACACACGATCGAGCTTAATAGAAATTTGCAACGCGTTGTCGATCGACTTCGCTCATAGACAAAGAGAGAAAGAGAGAGTGAGAAAGAGAGCGGCCACTTTTCTCGCGTATTCATTCGCGACACGGAACTAAAGTCTATCGCTCCTGCCTGATGATACTTTGCGTCCTTTTCGTTTCCTTGCCTGCTATCCCTCTGTCGTCTTTGCAGCTCCTCCGTTTATTTTTCGTTTCGTCGTTCGATGCACGCGATACCAAGAGACGCGAAAGACGCGAATACGGTAGAAGAATTTATTCTTCGTTGCGCTATCGATTCACCGATGGGCTTCGTTGTTCGAAGACGACCGGTAGCGCAACGAAAGAGAAAATTTGGTGAACGATTCGAGTCGTGTTCCGGCATCGAACGCGTCTAAGTAAGCTGCTTTTGCAAGGAGTGTGACAGAAACGTATATCGTAAGAGCGTAAAATAAGATGTCGTCGATCGTAAAAACACAGTTTTGTACGTAATTCCGAATGCGTCCGACGTGTACAGGGTGTCTCGTTTAAAAAGAAAAAAAAAAAAGAAAAAAAAGAAAAAAGCTCGAGTGTTCCCTTTTCAGAGTACGAATTTCAATTTATCAGGATTTACGCGGTTTAATCGACGAACGAGATCATTGTGTATTTTTATATGCGACCACTCCAAACGCGTGCTTTTGTCTCATCGTTTTCGCGCGCTCGTACGCCACCGATATTTTGTATCGCCAACTTTGTACAATCGTACCGTTTCTAAATTAAACGCTTATCCCCTCGGCAGGCAAGGGGAAGCGTGGCAAAAGTTGCGAACGAGGCGAACGAAACAGCGTCCAGCGAACACGGCTAAGCGGAGGAATTTACCGAGAGTTATCGTAGATAAAAGGTCGTCGAGCAGCATCGGATTCGCGATCGAATCCATCAACATTTCCGAATGCATTGACAGTGCAATGTCGCGGCGATTAATCCTCGAGTATTACGACGACGCGATTCGCGGTTATACTTGTCGAATGTCTTTAGCTAGTTAGTTCCTTAGGTAACTCGTTTTCTTTGTGCAATCGTGCGATCGTCGTGCCATTGCACGACGACGAATGCCGACGCGATATTTAGATTATACATATATAATATATAATAATAATAATAATAATAACAACACAACAACACTAATAATAATAATAATAATAATAATAATATAATATAAATATACAAATATATATATATATATATATTATATTGTATACACGAGAAACGCTATACCGTATTTCTTGGATTTCGCTGTCGACTAATAAAACGGCAATAATTGGCGAAGCTAATGTTTCGACGACGATCGTTCATAGCCGTGCGATCGTGCACGCGATACACGAACAACAATACGATTCGTTTCGGCGTTCCTTCGTTTGCTTGCTCGTCGTTTGAAGAATCGGTTTCGCCGCGACGCAATGCGGCGCGGTGTTTCTCGACCGACGACTAGGACGACGACGACTAGGACGACGACGACGACGACGACGACGACGACGCTCCGGCCAGCAGCGACCCTCACAGTTTAACGTTAACGCATACTTTAGCAGAGGAACCACGAGCGTTGCCTGTTTCTCAAGGAACGTACATTCTAAGGTTAAGCTCGAACAAGTGGAATGCGCGTTATTCCAAAACGACGTGTTTCTGGCAATATCTGTACAGTAGTCGAACCGTGTTGCGAGATTGATTGGGGTTTTTTGCTTTTTGACGACGATGACGACTTAGACGAAAGATTACGACTACGACTACGACTACACAGGTGATTATTATTATTATTATTGTGTTTTATTTGTTTATTATTTTATTATAATAATTATTATTATTATTCTGTTCATTATTATTATTATTAATATTATTGAACATTATAGAACATACCGTATTTATTACGATTCGTAACGAATCGAGTTGTCGACGATCGAGAAGACGATGAACAATTGTAATGTAAACGTTGAATTTTTATTTTCCAACGACGATAGTTATGTGAATATATTGCTACAGTCCGATCCAAATAATCAAGCTTTTGTAACACTAATTATAATAAAGTAACGGTGATACTGCTAATCGCGTAATTGTATGGCACACGGTAATTCGGATACGAGGTGCGTGTGTGCGTTGATGAATGCATGCATGCATGCGTGCGTGGGTGGGCTTCCGTGTGCTTTCCAACTGAAGAGTCTTTAGAAACTCGCGCGAGATCATTCGTCGACCGTCTTGTTCTTTTCTTTTCTTCCTTTTATGTCCGGTCGCGACGACGCAAAGTCGTTCGAGCTCTCCTCGGCTTAAGCTTTTCTCGCCGTTTCTCCACGCTTTTCCGCCAAGTTGGTCGCGTTATTGTATCGAAACGAGTATTGGTAATTTCGTCCAATCGGCAGCGATCTCCTTCTTCTCGTTAATTCGCTTCCTGTAGAGATATTTGGATTGGGAACGGGATTGCCAGGTTTCAGGAGAGAGAGCTTTCAGACACGGTCGCGCATCGGCCTCGAGGCTTTTCTCGCTAAAGTAGAACGAAAGTTAACTCGCGTATCCTTCATTTCATCCTACCCGAATCTAACCGATATACATAGTAGTACCAATAACGATAGTTAACGATTACGATAATAATAACGATACGATATCAATAGCGGTAGACTTAACGATGATAACGCGATAGGCGATTATAATAATTTGCGCGATCGTACACACGCATAGAAAAAGGAGCCTGTTTCCATAGATCGCAGACGAGAACGAATCGCAAGCTCTTAACGCGCGATATCGACAGTGAGACGACAGTAAACGAACAATGTTGAATTACAGTAACAGCCGACAACGGGAAATTGTAATAACTAACGATAATAATAGTAATAATAATAATAATAACAACAACAATAATAATAATAATCTAATGGTAACGATAATGATAATAATAAATAAATAATAATAATGTTAACGCTAATAGTAATATTATAACATTGATATTGTGGAGAGCGGCGACGCTAACGATACTACTTGATATTGTCGGTCACGGTTAAATTATTTAATAAGGTAATATCGATATCGCGTGTGTCCATTGCCTGTCGTGAGAGGAAAACGAAGCATAAGTGGAAGAAAGAAAAAAAAAAAAAAAAAAATCTAAAAAACCGGGTACCTACAAAGTGACGTGCCTTTGAGAGTGTGCGAAGCAAACGATCGGCTCGTCGTTAACGATATTCGTCGATATCGCGCGCTTCGAGGTTGAAATGCCCGTTGAAACCTGGCAACGCGACATCAAAGTTTTTCGATGGATAGATGGTGGATGAAATTAGCGAATTAACGAATATATAATCCTGTTTCTTTAGCGCGACGGTGAGAGAGGCGATTTAGCGATGCGGCGAATGCATACTTTCGAACGATTCGATTCGACAGACGATAGGATGACGAGGGGAAAGGAGAAAATACTAATTGTCCATGTTGCTCTAAACTCTAGCAATGAGAACGTAGTTGATCGTGTAGCGAGAAAAAGTGTTAGTTTACGGTAGTGTTTACGCGTGATGAAAGAAGGTAGAGCAGGAGTAAAGGGAGAAAGGAAGGAACGCGTACACGCAGTGACACAGTGAAACACCGATACACACGCATACGACGCATATAATAGAAATTAGATTAACGGTAGGACATAGATTTTTAGACGGAGTCGTCGAACTCGTTCCTTCGTACATATTAGCGTACATGATAGCGCTAGAGATTGGCTGACACACCTCGACACGAGGACGCGTGGTCCGTACACCTATCGATTAGATATGTACCCGACGGCGATCTTCCGTTTTCGTTAACGTCGTCGCCTCGCTCCTCTCTATTTCGCGAAAGAACAGCAACAGAGAGAAATGAAAAAACCAGGCCCGCAGCAATAAAACAATTTCGAGTAAGATAGCGGGTTGGGTCGCGAGTACATTCGAGCGACGAAACTTTTACGCGACAATGAATTTTTTTTAGAAAAAAAACTCCTTTCGATGAACAACGCTTACAATGAATGAACGCAGCTAAAAATATATGTTATTTTCGTTGAACGTCGATGTACTCGTGGCCCTTGAATTCAGCGAGTCGACAAAGCGTCAACGGATAAGCTTCGAAGACGATCCTTTTTGTCCTCGATCTCTTCCTAAGGCAAACCGACGGGCAGACAGGAACGGATAGTTAAAGAAAGGAAAAGGAAAGGGTTAGTCGAAGAGAGGAAGCACCCTGTGGCCAGTGCAGCTGCACGAAGGAAGCGTAAATTATTCGTTAGAATTATTAACACGCATCGATATCGTCGTGTGTATATATACATATACCTCTTCTTATACGTACAGTAAGGTTTATCTTCAACGATGATTAAAAACGTGTTGCGTATTGTTTGTGATCGCAATGTGATTAATTGTACCGGAAACGGTACGACTCGCGAACGAGCCACGTAATTATAAATATTATACATATAATAAACACGTTAGCTTGACAAGGATCAGAATCTCAAAGACGGACGGTGACTTTTTAAATTATTGCTATTCTATTATTATCATCTTTATGGTTTCTTATCACGATTGAACAGTGACCAGGACATAGTTATTATTATTATTATTATTATTATTATTATTATAATTATTATTATTATTATTATTATTATTACGATTACTATTACGATTACGATTATATTATTAAAAGAGCATCGTGGAACGCGAAAGGAAGAATGGGGAGGAATGGAAGCGAGACGAGTCGAGTCGAGAAAAAGGGGTTCCTATTTAAATTGTCCGAAAGCGCCTCCTCCTCGCGACAGATCGTCAGCTTTCTAGCCTTCTACGAATACCATTACCATTACGAATAGATGAACACGCGTCCAGATATCTTTTACCGATTTTTTTTCTTCCTCTCGCGAATTAATCTTTTTAATTATCCTTGAAAGCGGGGCGAGGCGATTTAACGTATCAAAAGAAAGGGGGAGAGAGAGTACGAGAAGAAGCAAGAGAGAGAGAGCGAGAGAGATGCGTCGCACGCGTTGTTAACTTGTAGATCCGGACATTGCCGGAGTTGAACGTAAACGATCATCCTTATCTTTGTTTTGTGGCAGAACCGAACCAATGCTCAAGCGACGCTGTTGGTTTAAAGTGAATAAAAGAAAAGCTGAAAAACCAAGGTTTTCTTTACCCGTCTGTACCTATATAGGCCTGTAACGTCGTGTATGTGCAGTGGAGTATAAAGGGAATAAAGAGTACACAACTTTTTAATACGCGTTTCTTTTTATAATTTTCCCTACGTACTTTAAACGTGCCAAAATTAGTATCAGTAATTCTCGTATAATGCGTATCAGTCGCAAAAAAATAAATATTTGCACCCACTGGTTCGAGTATATACATCCCTACATTCCTTACATCCCTCCATCCCTTACATCCCTGCATTCCTTACATCCCGGCATCCTTTACATCTCTGCATTCCTTACATCCCTGCATCCCTTACATCCCTCCATCCTTTACATCTCTGCATTCCTTACATCCCTGCATCCCTTACATCCCTCCATCCCTTACATCTCTGCTTCCCTTACATCCCTTACATCCCTGCACCCCTTACATCCCTGCTTCCCTTACATCCCTTACATCCCTGCACCCCTTATATCCCTGCATTCCTTATATTCCTCCATCCTTTACATTTATGCATCCCTTACATCCCTTATGTCCCTGCAACCCTTATAACAAATATATTATAAAAACTGGTTCGAGTAAAGGTAAGTAAAGGTAAGTAATTTTTGAATTTTTCAATTTTTGAAATTTCAATTTTTAGCCCTCTAGCGGCAAAAATGTGAACTAAAATCTCGACCTCGAATCAGCGCCATCTGGTTTTAGAAAAAGGAACTAAATCAAGCAGAGATTTTGGCCCTCTAGCGGCAAAAATGTGAACTAAAATCTCGACCTCGAATCAGCGCCCTCTGGTTTTAGAAAAAGGAACTAAACCAGGCAGGGATTTTGGCCCTCTAGCGGCAAAAATGTGAACTAAAATTTCGACCTCGAATCAGCGCCCTCTGGTGGCAAAAAAAGGAATTAAATTTTGCAAAAATTTATATTTAAAATTATTTTTCACGAGACATTACTTACCTTTACTTACCTTTACTTACCTTTACTCGAACCAGGGGCCATAAGTATATTATTTATAATATATTTATTATAAGGATTGAAAGGATACAAGAGATGCAAGGAGAATTCAGGAGTGTAAGGGATACAGAGATATAAAGGATACGGAGATGTAAGGGATGCAAAAATGTAAGGAATGCCGGCATATACGAGATGCAGGAATATAGGGAATGCAGTGATATAAGGGATACAGGGATGTTAAGGATGTAGACATGTATGGGATAAAGGGTTGGGACTCGTGAGGCTCTTAAAGACAAAAAAATAATATATAACTGGGAAGGTTGAGCCGAGGCTCATGAAGAGGGATAAAATAATAAATGACTTGGGAGGGTAGTCCACGCGAGGCCCGAGGATAGGGGTAAAATAATAAATAAAAGGATAAAATAATAGACGAGGCACACAGATGTAATAGAATCAACACGTTAATGTTCCTAATGAGTTTATTCAATAAGCTAAGAAGATAAATACAGCAAATCCTTCCTTTTAATAACGCGGAAACATGTCTGAATGACGTTGAGACGTTGTACGCATGCTCGAAAACAAGGCAGAAAAATGTTTTATGTGTAATCTTACAATAATAGTACAGTAAAACCTGTTAAAAAGGACGTCTGAAAATATTAGATCGGTGCACAGAAAAAGTCGCTGGGGTCCCTGACACCCCAAGAAGATATTACGTTGGTGCGCAGAAAGAGTCACCGGGATCCTCGGTACCCCAAGATGATAGGTCGGTACGCAGAATGAGTTGCCGGGGTCCTTGGAACCCCATGATGATAGGTCGGCACGCAGAATGAGTCGCCGGGGTCCTAGGCACCCCAAGATGATAGGTCGGTACGCAGAATGAGTCGCTGGGGTCCTTGGCACCCCAAGCTGATAGGTCGACGCGCAGAAACTGTCGCCGGGGTCCTTGATACCCCAAGACGATCGGTCGGTACGCAGAACGAGTCGGCGGGGTCCTTGGCACCCCAAGCTGATATGTCGACGGGCAGAAATTGTCGCCGGGGTCCTTGATACCCCAAGACGATCGGTCGGTACGCAGAACGAGTCGCCGGGGTCCTTGACACCCCAAGCTGATATGTCGACGGGCAGAAATTGTCGCCGGGGTCCTTGATACCCCAAAATGATAGATCGCTACGCAGAGTGAGTCGCCGGGGTCCCTGACACCCCAAGAGGATAGGTCGTCGCGCAGAAACTGTCGCCGGGGTCCTTGATACCCCAAGACGATCGGTCGGTACGCAGAACGAATCGCCGGGGTCCTTGGCACCCCAAGCTGATATGTCGACGGGCAGAAATTGTCGCCGGGGTCCTTGATACCCCAAAATGATAGATCGCTACGCGGAGTGAGTCGCCGGGGTCCCTGACACCCCAAGAGGATAGGTCGACGCGCAGAAACTGTCGCCGGGGTCCTTGATACCCCAAGACGATCGGTCGGTACGCAGAACGAATCGCCGGGGTCCTTGGCACCCCAAGCTGATATGTCGACGGGCAGAAAGTGTCGCCGGGGTCCTTGATACCCCAAAATGATAGATCGCTACGCAGTGAGTCGCCGGGGTTCCTGACACCCCAAGAGGATAGGTCGGTGCGCAGAATGAGTCGCCGGGGTCCTTGACACCCCAAGAAGATAATACGTTAGTGCGCAGAATCAGTCGCCGGGGTCCTTGGCACCCCAAAATGATAGATCGGTACGCTGAATGAGTCGCCGGGTTCTTTGACACCCCAAGTGGCACACAGATGTAACAGAATAAGTGTGGGTGACAGCGGAGGTCACCCACGCTCGTCCCTCAGGGGCGGATAAAGTATGCATTTCGCACCTCTTGCCACCCTCGAGGGTGGCGTACTATATACTACAATACCTATTTATTTGAATAAATGTTGTTATTTCTCGAATACGGTATCGTTTCCTGTGAATTAAGCATAATGCCTACATCGTATCCAATGGGGTGGCTTATACCGCCATTTTTCCTAGAATGACCACGAGCGCGCTGGAGGGTGTATGTATGTACTGAAGAATCATCCAGAGGTTAGTATATTAACTGAACAAAATATTACTTTCCTAATATTTAACAAATATTCTGTGTATTTTGTAGATTTACTTTTTCTCTAAAATGTTCCCTTGAAATATTTTTATTATTCGAATAGATTTTGAAGTATTATGCATATGTACATACGTACATACATACATACGTAGGAAGCAGTGACATTAGCGCTTGAAATGGACCGGGGAGTAATTAATTCGCGTTACAGAATGAAATAGATGTGTTTCTCGGGTCTGGTTGGTGGAGCAAAACAAGATGCATAGGTCGATTCAAAGGATGAACGAGAGGTCAACGATGGGTGAAATTTTGAGAAGCTGGATCCAAGCGAGGCTGGGAGCGATGATCGATTTGACGCCGGATATGTTTGGGCATTACACCAGAGACGGCACGCTGCTGGCGCAAATGTTGCACAGCTACGACATAATAAATCGCGATCAATTGGAAACGATCGTGCATACGCAGGATCCGGCTCTGTGCAGAGTGAACCTGAAACACCTCAAGTTTTGGCTACGCTTCCTGGGCATCGACTGCGACGACGAGAGCATCGCGGAGATTTCTTGCGGCAAGGGTGCCACCTCGTTGCGTCTCTTCTATAAGCTCTATCTGTGCCTCGAGGGAAAGGACAGGTTGCACTTTATCACGCTGCAAAAGGAGAGAGAAAAATTTGTGCCCACCTCGAAGAAATTCGAGGTGACCACCGTGTCGGAGGACCCTTCTGCCTACGAGCCCCCGGATCATCCTTTCTGTTCGAAACTGGTGAAAGGCAAGACCGAGATGGGACGCTTCAAGATCCCTCTGCTGCTTCGAAAGCTACGTCGGAAACGAGAGAAGCTAGAGCAGCCTTGGAAGCCGTATTCGATCGTGCAGCCTGTCGAGTATTGCTTTCCCAAGGTACTTTACTTACTCCTTTTCTTCTTTTCCGTTTACTTTCCTATTTGCCAAATATCTGTTTGCTCGCAGACAGAAAAGTCATTGGACGAAAGTAAGATGGAAGAAAGCGAGGAATTGGATCGGTTCGCTCGCATGCACCGAGTGCGGCCAAAGAGGTTCGAACAGTTCGAAGAGGAGGAACGATACTTGGAGGAAGAGAAAGAGAGGTTCGAAAAGATGTTGGAAGAATTGACCGAGGAGCCGGAAGCGGCTAAGGCGTACGTGGAGCAGTTAAAGTGTCGGACGAAATGCGCGGAGATGACCGCTGCTCTCAAGTGCCAGATGCAAAGGAGCTTGCTATGCGAGCTTTGGGAACGGATGGAAAAAAAGCAGGATCGATCGTTCGACGAGGCGATCGCGAGACGAACATCGGATCAATGCCGTTACGAGAAACAGATGGTAAGCAAGTTGTGCGAGGTACGGGATCAAAAGAACGCGATGGCGGAGAATCAAAGGATCGTCGAGAACATGACGTTGAAAGCGAACGAGCTCGAGCATCGAGCGAGGCTGGAACTGGAGAAAGACTTGGCTTGCAGGAAACAAAAGGACGTGGAGACCGAGTGCGAGAGGATGTGCGAGCTTCGTCGGAGGTTACTCGAGGAAAAGATCGAAAAGATACGGAAGAAACATTTTAAGCTTTGTCGACTAGCTCTTCAAGATTTGACCAGCGTCGCTTTGAACATTGGCGAGTACCGACGAGTAAACGACGGGAACGTGCCCCTGTCGCTTCTCAGCGAATGGAAGACCATGTTTCTCAAGTGTCAACCGATTTACGACGAGAAATTCTCGAAGGAAATGGACGAAGACGAAGAGTCGGAGCCGGAGCCGGAGCTAATGGCTGACGATAAGGGATGGTGCGCGTTACTCGAGAGGTCGGAGGCGCAACGGCAGGTCCTTTTACAGGACTATCTGGATACGAACTCGCCGTGGAACGAGTTTACCCCGATGCTCGGCGAGGACGAGCGCGAAACGTTCGAACTCGGTCGAGTGGTACTCGGTTACGTGGTGCATCGGCTATTGAATGCCCTTTACCCTCGTCCGCCGAATCGTGCGCAACTGTTACTCTCGAAATTCAAAACCGCCGCGATTTTGCTTGGCATCGGCAACTCTCAGTTGCATCGATCGATCGGTTTGTTGCTGGAGAAAAGCGGGATACGCTTGGTGCGAATGGAGGACGCGATCAATTACTGTTTGCAGAGGTACAAGGAGGAAATGTCGAACGTAGAGTACGTCGACTCGACGGTGATCGCCGCGACGAACGACGCGGTGAGGAAACTAAGGGGGAAGAAACGACCTCCGTGCCCTCCTCCGTCTAGCAAAAATTCCTCCATTTCAGAGGCAAAAGGTTCGCGAGTGACCGAAGATAAGGAGACGAAAAGTACGACCAAGTCGAGCAAGACGGCGCGAACGCGAGGCCGAACGCGAACGGGAGCTCGAGGCCGAGACCGAGATCGAGAGAACGAGAAAGATTCGAAAATGTTGGAGAAGGAAACGCAAACTCCGCGAAACATACCGTTCGACGATCTGGACCCAGTGCTGACCGATGCCGCGTATATCGGTAAATGGGTCTACGAGTTTCTCACGTTGGGGGAGCCGATCGACGACGAACTCGCGACCAAGACTCTCGTCGAGTACCTGAAGAGCGTGACCGACGCGAAAGGCTGGGCTCTGATCGATTATCCGAACACGTACGAGCAAATGTGTCGACTGGAGACCGCTGTGACGGGTGTCGTTCCACCTCCCGATCCAAAGGAGCTCGATTTTCAGGACGTTACGATCGAGGATATCGAGGGTATCGAAACGCTGCCGCGGAGGATAGTTTTCGAGGATCAGGAAGATCCGTTTGCGTTGAACAGGTACATACGCGATGCCCTTCCACGAGTAACACCGCGTTCCTTTCCGCGTTCAATTTTCCAGACGATCGAGACTGTTGCCCGATCCGATCGCGAACCGGGACACCAGCGCTACGAGATCCACCTTCGTCACGTTGTTCGTTAGGATAGCGCAGAAACCGAAGGGTTTTCAAGCGGATCGTTCGTACGAGACGGTGGGAAAAGACGCGGCTTCGATCGACAAGTTTTACGCTTCTTTAAAGAACGCGTACGCGCTCTATTACTCGAGTTTGGACGCGAATACGCTGAAGAGGTTAGCGAGATTGGTGATCGGTGAACCTCTGCAAAGAAGGCCGTCCGACGAGTTGTTCGGTGACGTCCTAAACGAATTGGATCCCGGCACAGGGCAGCAGGTGGTCGGTGGTTCGAGAGCGCCCGTGGTTCGACGCGTTTTACCCGACGGTGAGAACCTCGAGCCGGACATCGACTACATCGACGACGTCGATCGGCTGTCGATCGGAACGCGAGATTCCGTTCGCGATTACTTTCGTACGGACTGGCTGACGGCCGAGCCAGGACCGGCCAGACCCGGCGAGCCGAACTGGCAATGGATCGACTTTCCACTGCCCTCTGGTCTCCTCGAAAGTTTGGCCAACCTCTGGGAATGCTTGGAGAACGCTTACGTCGAGAACGTCAGAGAGATGCTCTACCTGAAAAGCGTTCACGTGTCCAGCGTCGTTCCGTACAGAGATTTCGTGACCAGAAACATGAAGGATTTTATAAGACGACCGGACAATAAACAGGATCTGCTAAACGAGTTTCATAAAGCTTTCAACTCCATTGATCCCGACGCTCGTCACGACGTGGACGTGAAATGCGAGTTGCATCGACGCGTGGCCGATTTTCAAGCGACGCTCTGGGATATTTGCGACAAGCGAAAAGTGGAAGCGGAAGGGGAACGAAGACGTCTGATCGCGGACCACTGGACCGTCCTCGAAGCCTCGATCCTCTACAACGTTTTCGTCGGTCTTGTTCAAGCTGAACTGGATCGTTTCGTCGACACGAAACTCTCGATAGAAGATTACTACTTAGGGATGCTGAAGAAACCGTTGCCAGTCTCTGTCGGTCAGAAGGTGATTTTCAACAGAATAGAAGTGGAAACGGGAGCGGAAGAACCGTTGCGGTTCGAGGAGCGACCTGCTCAAGAGTCTTCGGGAACGGAGGTGGAACAACGGACCACCGATCGAAAGAAAGAACGATCCGGAAGGAAGACAAAACTGGTGGACGTTGTTCCGCCGGCTGTCGATCTGGCGGTACTTCGAAGGCAGATCGACGACGCGTTGATCGACAGAAACAAGCGATTTCGAGGGGCAGATGATTGTTGCGCGTTTCAAGGAATCATGGAGATCGTTCGTTACGCGAGAAACGTCGTCGACGCGTTGTCATCGACGGCTAGCGAGCTAGTGAAAAAAGAACGTCTCGCGGCGTTGAGGCTCGACAAAGATCTTCTTACCGATTCCGGTGATTCGATAATCGCGAGGACAGTTTCGAGGGGCGAGGAGCTCGCGCTGGAATGGCGATACGCGATTTCCTACGAGATTAACCGGGTTCGTTTGAAGCTCGACTCCATAATCGCCGTGGCTCGAATGGATTTCATTTTCCTCCTGGATTCGCTACAGCGGACCTTTCACGAAATTTACGACGTTATCGTGGACAGGTTAGGGTTAGCTGTGTACAGTTGTTTTCGACGATTCTTGCTTTTTTGGTATTTGCGTTCGCAGGTATTGGCGAGAGACCAGGAGCGTAAACGAAATGGGAAACGTATTCTGTTTCGCGATCGAGGAGGGTAGAATAATTGAGAACGAGTTACTGTTGGAGGACGACAATTTCGTGGTTCGTTCGAACGTGTTCGTGACGGAGGTCGATCTGGAGAAACGAAAATCCGCGTTGAAGGAAACGTTATCGAGTTCCCGGTTTCGCATAGCCGATCTAGCTCGATTAATGGAGATCTTCAAACGAGTCGCGCCATATGGAACCATTTCCGAACGCGCTTTCGTTTACATCCTTCAAGATCTGGCGAGTCACGGACGCGAGGAAGGTGAATCGATGCTACTACCTTGCCGGTGGTACCAGCTTCGAGCCAGCGAAGTTTGCAAGGTGGTCCGTTCCCTGTTCGGCACCGTCGATCACATAGACTGGCGAGAATTCGTCGTTTACGCGATGGACCTTCCCTGGCCGAGTCACCACGATCTCTTAATGGCTAGAGAACGTTTTCGAGCTCAGGATCCCGATTTAAGAGAAACGGTGACTCGCGCTCAGTTTTACCGAACGTCTTTGTGGTTCCTCGATAGTTCGGTGGTCGACACCGAGATTTACGATCTTCTTCACGACGATTTCCATACGATCGTCGAACAGCTCTACGAAGAAGAGCTCTATCGTTCGAGTCTGGAGGACGGCGATTCGGGGGTTTTCGGAATAAAAAAGAGCTCGATCGCAGATTTGAAATCGCGTCGCTCGAATCCGGAAGAAACGCTCAGGCGGATGCTATCGAAAGAGTTGCTGTGTCGAATGTACGCGGTCGATCGACACACGATCAATTACACCGCGTTATTGTTGGTCTTCTGCAAGCACGAGGATCCAAAGGAAGGTTTCGGAAAAGCGCTCGCGTTAGCGCTCGGAAACAAAGTCTGCACCGACATGGAAGAGGGCGAGAGATACGTTCAAGAAGTTTACGAACGAAAGCGACTCGGTCTCTCTTGGCATAGAATCTCTCGCAGCGAGGCTCTTGAGGTAATCTGAACGATTCGAGACGATTAACCGGCAGGAAATAAAACTCGATCCTTACAGGTGACCAGACAGATCCTTGAACAGTTGTTGGATCGAGCGACAGCGCTGGACTTTGAGGAGGAAGCGGAAGAGGTGGAGGATGCAACTACGCTATCCCGCGACTCGGTCGCCTCGATCGCCTACACGGCCAACTTTGAGTTCGAGGACGAAGCTACGTGGTTCCCCGATGATGCGGTTTTCACTGAGAAACGTCTCTCCAAAGAATTGATCGTTTACTGGCTGTCTCTCGATCTTTGCCTCGTAAGGGCTTTCTTCTTCGCTCTCCAGGAAATTCCCTTTCTCTCTGTAATTCGTTCGCTTTCAGACGGTACTAGCTGCGACGTTGCCCTGGCACGTATTGCAACCAGAAATTACTGGAAATTGTAGCAACCTTCGGGATCGTTTGTCAATCGTGTTCAAGGAAATGAGAGACGAATATCTGAACGAACAGAAGGACGTTGCGTTGGCGCATCGATTGTTGAATCATGATTTTATCCAGCGGCTGTTGAACAGTGTCAGCAACTTTACCATCAAGAACATAGGGGACATTGTTCAAAAGATTTTGCAGAGCCGGGAGCAAAATATTGGCTAGTACAGGATGTACGAGTTTTAACAGAGTTTATTGTTTCGATACATCACCAGTGTAACTTGTGAAAAAATTCTAACGTTCTGGGTAAATCGCGAAGATGTCTTTTATCGCATACTTTTCGTTCGATATCGAACGAAACACGCTACGCGTTTTACTTTCTTTTCCATGGAACGTTTACGACTGCTATACGCCCCATTTTGCTTCTTCGTTGCATCAAGAAAATAACTAATCAAGATAGAATCGATAGAATCTACCCAAAGCAAACGTGTTTACGACGCGTCTCGAGATTCGAATTAAACTTAAAGGCTATACCGAGGAACAGTCACAGTCACAGTCACAGATCCAACTTTACTCCAGACTTCTCGCTCGCGCTTACGTTACATTAATGGCCTAAGATATTATCGATTATTCGATATTCGTAGTATATGGTACAGAGTGTGTGTGTGTGTATTCTTAGAGTAAACGAAATTGCTGCGTTTGCGTGATAGATTTCGCCGCCTCGATAGATTTCTTTTTCTCTTCGCGTATCGCTATCGTCGCGAATTCTTTTATGGAGTGACGGTGCGTAGAATTCTGATCGGTAGGAACGCTTCTATCTGTATTTATTCACAGCCCGTACTCTCTCACCCTTAACGATTTAAGTATCGATTCCGAACGATCGAAGGCGGTGCGGCGCGACGCGACCACGTCATGATATGTTTGCGTGTCTCGACTCGATCGAAGATCTTTTCTTTTCGTTCGTTTGATGCTTGGAAATTATTCTGGTGCGCTCGAGCTGGAAGATGCAGTCTTGTAACTTTCAAAGCTGGATAGATCCCCTCGACGCTACGGACTAGCGAAACGTTAACAAGCGAGAGGGGGTCAGGCGTTGAACCGACTTGCGAGCTCGCGCGAATACCTTTGGCCAGTTGTACAAACTGTGTGTGCACGTATGTGTCACGTTTCAAGGAAATGCGTATAAAATGCTAACAACAAGTGTTCTCGAATACCCAGGCTTCCGACATTAGTGTTCACGTTACACGCTTAAGTACCGTTTCCGTTGTACATACATATGTATATACACGACCGTCTACAACAATTGCGCAACCCTTCGCTACAGAAATAAACCTTTTTACCGCACAATTAACCAGACAGACGCCTTACAAAAATAAGCTTTATCTCGTCGAGTATGATTTGCGAGTTCGATTCGATTCTATCACGACGAAATAACCACAAACCGAAAGGATATCCCTGTCCGATTCGGACACGTTTGAAGCGGAGATTCGCGATGGAGAGGAAACCTCCAACTTTTTATCAATTATATATACATACTTACGTACGTGTACGCGCGTCTACGTGCACGTATCGCGGTGGATGGACAGAGGAAAAGGGTCCCCTTTTCTCCGCTCCGTTTATTTTTCACGCGCCTGTACACGCACACGCATTCACCTTTGGCACGTCAGCTCGTACGCTACGTTCTATCTGCTCTCTCTAGCCTATCATTGCGATAAAAAAATACAAGGAATAAAAATATATCACGTAACAACGTTTCTCTCGATCGCTACCGTCCGCGATCATCTTCAGAGAAACAATTCGTCGATATTTTCAAAACGTCGACGCTTTCTTCATTTTTTTCCGACGTTCTACGCGTTTGTTCGAGAACCTAGATGGAAAGGTGTAAGTTATAGTTTTGAAAGGGCGTCGGTGGAACGTAATTAATTGCATCGCTACGCTATGATGGTAGTTCGTGCAAACGAATCGATCCACCGTTCGGTTTTTGGAGCGGAAACTGTGTCGATCGGATGATCGACTTCTCCGTGTCGTTATCCGATCCAGGATAGCCATCAGCTGGGCTGAGGAGGCGTTAGCTTCACCAGCAACCAGGTGTACAATTTTGGCTTTTGCTTGTCTACCAATTCGTATTGCAGATTGCTCAATCCATCCGTGGTGAATCTCTTCTTTCCTGTCTTTAGGTACTCGTACCTGAAAAGTTCCACGACACGATCGAAGAGCATTCTCAATCGGAAGACACGTGAAAATGGTTTAAGATTTCTGTGCCAGCTCACCTCTTTGGATTAGCCTTTTCCTTCTTGTGCGTAAGCATCTTGTAACGCGCCACGTTAGCAGGATACCGAGATATATGAAGTCCGTGCGCTTTGATACGGTTCGCCATGTCGTCGTCCTCGCCACCCCAACCCCAGAACACGTTGCTGAATCCGTTCACTAGACGAAAGTGTTCGCGTGACATCGCTGACACGCCACCGAACAAATCGGCGTACGGTAACCTACGCAGAAAGAGACCACGATAACTTTCTGTTCGCGTAAGGGTAGCGAAATTTTTCCTGATACCTGTATTTGAACTTGTCCACTGCAACCGACATGTGTCTCGGTTGCTCGGGACACGTGTACAGATTTCTATCGTCTTCCGGAAGTAGGTCAACATCGTGAAAAATGAAGCAGTCGAAAGGCCGTTCCTTCAAGGCTTCCACGTATCCTACATTCATCAACATCGCGCGATTAAAGGGTTCGCTGCCTGAAACACGAATAAAACATTTTCGTTCGTTGACGAAAGTGCAACCGGCATTACCGCCGCTACAACTCAAATATTCCGATACTTACCTTTTTGTTCGACTATAAATATTTGGTAGTCGATCTGTTGACGTAGCAACATCGGGTGGAGGTTGTAAAGCAACGTCTGAAGATGTTGCGGTCGATCTCTAAACGGAATGATAATAGCAACGCGATATCTTGCGAGACAATCGGTTGGGTAACCTCTGCCGCCTGGTTTCACGTCGGTCAACGTTTTTTCCATCACCGACATTTCTGGTGGCGACTTACTAACCGCCAGTGGTCCAACTGCAAATTATTCAGACAAGTCCAGTTTCGTTAAAAGCAGGCTCAGTTGGAACGTATAGGGAGGAAACCTACCCAGATTTGGAGGAATAAGCGGGCATCGTGGTACCGCGGTGCCGTTCGTTGAATTCGCATTCGCGGTCGAGGATTCCAGCAAGTTTCCAACGATATTATACGCGTTTCGAGTGGAAACACTGCTTTCCAATTTTGAGACGTTATTGGAATTAGCCTTGCCAGCCCATAGAAGAGTGGCGGCGGTGTCATTGCTTGGACCGAGTATGCTCGAGACCGTGACGGGACCGTAAATGATCAGCCCTCGGGGATGATGCCTGTACGTACGATCCGCGTATCTATCAACAACAAAAAATCGATCGAAATTTAAGCTAAAACTAAACTGTCCACTGTAACGAAGGCTATCTTTGGCAACGGTACGATCGGATTTATTCTCGGTTACGTTTCTTTTGGCGCGAAGCTTCTACGGTTACACACACATACACACACACACGGTTGTAAAGGTGTTGCTAGAGCAAACTCTAATTAAAGACACGTTAGAGTCGGGTCATTCGGAAATATATCCGGGGATCGTATCTTCTGGCTGCTTGCGATTCGCAACTTACCCGATCAAAATTTCATAAATTAATATACCTATCTATCGATATTGAATGTCGAGCATCGATTAATATCGCGTTTAGATGCTTTGTGTGCACACGAAGCCAATTAGCGAGCCAACTGCGGCTAGATTACTCGAGCTCTGCGACCGCTATCTCCAACCCGACTCCACCTTACACGCTAATGGTGTTCTACTACGATTGCCAAACCGATCGACCGTTTAATCGTTTCGGTAATTTCGCTCAATCTCGTTCAATATCGTAACTTCAACGAGATTGCGAATACAGAATTTCCATTTCGAATTAACGACACTCGCTGTCTAATTTTCTCTTTGAAAATGTTGGTTTTAATTGAATCCCAAAAGTTGTCGAAAAAAAAAAAAAAAAAAAATTTTTACGTTTAAATGAAGATAAATGGACGAATATTACGTACAAAATGGTTCTGAACCGATAGAATTTATTGGTATTCGCAGCACGGATAGAATGTCATAAATCTGAAACGAGTTATCTATGGCGTAAGTCGTCTTCCTTCCAGCTAATATTTCACTTTTTAATCTTATCCTTTACGATCCGGCATGGACATGTAATTCGTTTGCAGTTAATTGAAAAATAAATTTTAAACAAATTAAGGTAGTTGAAGTTTAACACAATATTCGCATAGAAATTGCTTTCGATCGATTTGACGAACAGCATGGACCGGTGTGCCATGCACGAGTGCCCTTCGATCCATCAAAAGGCTTGATTTATAGAAAGAAATACGAAGACGTTTCTACAGGTCGATGATTTACAACTGTAGCGTTTCCGTCGAGGATGCTTTGGGGCTTCCGTAAAGTCCGATCGATTATTTTAACTCGAAGAAGAAACGAACGTCACACGAAAGCTTTCTATCTTTTTAACTTGTTCTTCCTTTTATTTTACGCTGCAAAAAGGTCGCAAGTTGCTTTTCTCTACACTCTAAGGACCGTCCATGTTTCATAGCTCGAACAAGAGAACTTTTTCTTTTACGCCTTAATCATCGCGTAATTGCTGGAGATTCGTCCAGAGTTTCGCGTTATTTTAGGATAGTTGGATTAGCTAATACAGCTATGTTAGATTGTTCGCAAACGGATCGCTAACGATGTAACGACGTCACCTACGCTTCTTGAATGCACATTTTCAAATGTCTTCGATTAAGTAGATTCGGGTGAAATTACCGTAAAAATGAACGGAGATTCGGAGTCAACGACCGGTCGTGTGTTTCCCATTGCAGTTAGCAAATTGTTTCCTAGCGACCGATGTATGCGCGAGTAACCACCAAATTGCATCGTTAACTAGCCACTTTGCTTTGTTATCGGTCAACTAATAAGATTTCCCGGATATCTAAGAGGCTGAAGCGGCGATATTAATTTTACCGATTAACCGTCTCTGAAATGCTGCTATGATGGTTGAAGCGACGCGAGCTAAAAGTCCGTTAAGCGATGAAAATTTGACGAAGTTGAATGAAGGTTATAACATGCAAATCGAGGAGGACGCGACTCGACCGTGAACGAAAGCTTAAATTCGTTGGGAGATATCTCCTTTGAAACTGCTGGACAGTTGTGAAATTTAAGCGATTTTCAGGCAAGTTTATGAAAGACTCAGCAAGTTGGCGGCACAGTAGAAGAGACGTACCTGGAAGCGTTAATGGTGAAAATGGTTTCGATTGATCGGCGATCGATCACGCCGCTAAGTAAATACTGAATGGCAATCAGGGCGAGGACGACGCAGACGATCGCCTTGTAAAAGTGGGCACGATGCCACAGTGCCACGGCTGCGGCCGCAGTCATCGCATTTGCGAGACACCATAACTCCTTCCTATCGCCGTTAGAAGAGCGCCGTGCTGCACGAGGCGCTCCCTGCAGGCCGTTGCCGATCCCGGTCCCGGTCCCGTTTCCCTTTTCCGCCTCTACCCTTGTCGCTTCTGTTCTTCCGGGACCCTGAGAGTTACGTGCCTCCAACCGGTCGATCGGCAACACCGACAACCAACGAACAAAGAAAACACCGCCGGAGGCTTCTCACTTCCGGTCATCAGGCGCATTACCTTCTGCTGGCAGCGTTGCACTCACCTTTCCAACCCTGAAAAAGAGAAAAAACCAATTCGTCTCTTGTACACTTTGCACCATGCCTTTTATTCTCTCCTCTTCGCTTCTCAACGAACCATAGTCTGATCGTCGCGTCGCGTCGCGTCGGTAGAATAATCGATCGTTAAGCAACACTTGCGTTACAGAAGATAATTCGTCTTGCTTGTTAATTGCTCGAGCGTCGAATATATCTACGTTGGGAAAAATGACACGGTTTACGTAACTCGTTTTTGGAAAGCTTCGAGTCGTATGCATAATTAGAACCTTACAAGATAAAACAAGGGTGATTAAACAGACGGCCGTAGAGCATGGTCTCGTTTGGATCGTGGAACGGAACATCGGGGTTGAACTTAAAAGGAAGCATCCCGTGAAAGATACGGAATTCCACGTAACAACGGATGGTCGGAGGAAAGATTAGATAGAGCATCCGCTTTTTTAACTTGCGGTATGGAAATTTCGGAAATCGCTGACGACTAACGATAATGCGTAATCAGTAGGAAATTCATTCCGAACATTTACGTTCGACCCACGCGTTATTTTTTCATGCTTTACGCGCGTAAACAGTGACTATCACTTATTCTGTCAAGATCGAATCTTGCTGTTTCTTTTTTCAGTAGAAGTAGAAGCGCGAGCATATACCATACTATTGATGGTAAAGCGATAAACGGATAGAGTGGATAGAGCGGAGAGAACAGATAGCGATTGATGTGATTAACGACACGAACGAGTGCTCGTGCACACCTATATGTAGAACGCATCCAGGCTCGTGCAATTTACTGTAAAATCTACAATTATGATGGTTATCGCGACATCGTGACGTCAAGTATCCGCGACGATCGGCTAATTGTTTCATAGCATTTCGTTTGTTCGCTGGATTCTCGTGACTCTTTCTGTTCGCGTGCCGACTGAATTAGATTACGCTCATCCAATTATGTAATACGGATCTTATCAGAATTCGCTGCGTTTTTACAGCAGGAATGTAATACGTAAAGAGTGTGATAACGAAACGTTTCTCTAGTCGTTCAAAATATGAAATTGGAATCAATCTACGCCTTATTTGATAAAATCACGTAATCGTGATTTTGGCAATTTCATCCAACGCGACGAAACATTCGATACTTGCAAGAGCTGAGGAAAAAATGTTTGCATAAACATCAAAGCGATTCGAAATTCATGGGTAACGGAGAGATACGCGAGACGAATCCGTCCGCTGTATGTATATCGGAAGACTGTGGTGGCGGTTTTTAAGCAACCGATCGTCTTGTCACCGTGAAATTCTTTTGGAAAATGTATGTATTCGAAATTTCCCGGTGACGCTGAATAATTTCCAGCGTGTGGTCGCGTATCGATTTTCTCGTCGGTGCACGGATTGCGTCGCGTGGGCGGAATACTCAAAGAGAAGAGGATATCGTGAACCCTTAGCAAGAAAACTCGTCAATAGAACGTTATATCGTGTTCTTCTTACACATCAGTTACGCTGCTGTATTTCAAACGCGTACGGACAAAAACAAAGCGAAGAAAAAAAGGTTGGTAACAAAGGGGAAAAAGACGCGACAGACTCGGTCGGAGATGAAGCAAAGGGATGACACGTTTCTTGAGAGCGTTTCGCGTCATTTTCGTTATGTCCGTTCCTCTCAGCTGCTCCGTTTGTTGTAGACGTGGCAATGCAGGAAAAAGAGAAGGCAAGGCCCGATTTCGGGCTCGAAATGGAACCTTAATTCCGGCTCGTTTGCCAGCATCTTGTCGACAAGCGGTAAATCAGTCAAGGTCTTTCAAAGCTCTGCCTTCATCTTCTGACTTTTATACGGCTCGACCTTTCATCCCGTGCGACTATTTATCTCGAACGGGTCGCAAATAAGCCACCGTCACGACTCTCAGACACGAGACAATACTTGAAAACTGTTGCGACGCTTTTCAATTAAAAACTTCCTATTCGAGGCACAACTCCGTTAATCCTAACTACTACTCGTTAATTAAGAAAATTGGATTTCACGTGGTCGCGATATCCTCGAGAGATTTAATTGCTTCCTCTTTGAAGGAAGCCGTGGTTTAGATTTCAATTCAATTAATTGAATTCGCGTTAGTTAAATCGTTCCTACGATCTTATTCCTCTACTTCCGAGTATATAGAAGCGTCAAAAGTTTTGACAAATAGGAAAGGAAAAAAAAGGTGCTTAGTCACCGAGAAAATTTTCATCGATATGCTTGTCTCTTCGTGACCTAAATCTCGATCTGTACCGAACGGAGTTGCAGCCACGTTCTTCATCGACTCTGACGATAACTGGAAACAGACCGCTCGCTAAACTCAATAACTCGATAAACAGCGTCGATCGATGCGACGTTTTAAGGGTTTCCATCTTTTCCCGAGATTTCTTTCATCGATGGATCTCGATTGAAGCGGTTCCAAAGGACCGCCTTTCCAAAGCGTTTCGCGGACGTGCACGTTTTCATCGATACGAAAGGGAAATGCTGTCGCAGAGATTACAAGCTGCGTCTGTTCCTGTTACTCGACTATGACGAGCTATGAAAAATTATAATCGACACTTTGGATTCCAAGCTTGAACCTAAACCGAAACGGTAAATGGACAGAATAAATTTTTAACGTCGAGTAAAAAATCGTGAAACGCGAAAGGTTAATTAACCCTTTCGTTTCGGTAAAGCTGAATAAAAAATATCAATTTCCCATGGGGAAACGAGTCACGGATTTATCTTTTGCCTCGTACAATTTCTACCTCGTGCAACTTGTTTAAATAAGCAGAGCAATTCATATTAAAAACTGTAAATGTTGAAATTCAGAGGAGTGTAACTTCGTTTCAGAAGCAACAAAGACGAGGTTAGCGCTTGGGAGCTCGAGATAGAACCGAGTTCTCCTCGAAAGGAAGCTTTGAAGCTCGCATACGAACCTCTTGTACATTTTCTCGGGTTCTGTTTCGAAGAACATCCGACCGGTCCGTCGATCGTTGCCGAATCGGCAGAAAGTTTTTCAAGATGGCAAAGTGAATGATACCGGAATGGAAACTGAAAGCGGGTAGGATGGGCAAATTCACAGATCGTTCAAGTTTGAATATCCTTTTAACCTGTTTAAGGTTCACGAACTCGTATTTGTCCCGGTGGAGCTCGTTAGTATCTTTACACGCGGCATGGTAACGACGATACGGGATTAAACGAGCTGGTATGTTGGTTTGCGTCTGCATGTAGGTAGCGGAGCACGCTCATCGCCAGCTCCGGATGAATAAATTGCGGTTGCTTCTCCGCGAACACCGTATTTTCTGTCATCCGGCTGTTCCGGCTGTTCCGCCTCTTTCCCGTCCCCATTCATTTTTACCCTCTTCGCTTTTTAACTCTAAATAGCAAATATTGTGCCGTTCTTCCATCCTCACCATAATTTCCTTCGTTATTAACCCTTCGAAATTAACCCTTTTACCTACTGTTTTAAAGAAGCTTAGGTCAAAGACCGTTTTTCTTTACAGCAAAATACCCATTCTTTGCTCCGTTTATCTTTGATGGGAAAACTTGCCCCGAGCGAAATCGACTGTGGTTTTTGGCCGATTATCGGTCGCTTGGAAAGCGATGATAGTTGAAAGGGAACAGCATTTTTCGAACAACGGCCAATTTTTGTTATCGGAAAGGGATCGATGATAACGCGAAGAAGCTTAACTCCTCCGGGTGGCATTTAATCGCATTTACGTTCAGTTCGGATCCCAATCATTGTACACCTCTACGGCAGTCAACGCGTTAATACTGCAAGCTAGTAATTTGGAAGTTTCAATTTGAAAAGTTAAACAAACGATCACCTTTTTAAATATTGTAAACTTTCCGCAAACTTTTATCTCCTTTATCCGAAGATAAACGAACAACTTTGCAACGCAACATAGCTGCTATCTTGGCAAAAAACAAACGACTTAACGAGCTTCGATTTTTCAAGTATGCAAAATTGCAAATACAGCTTTTTGCGAAATTGTAGCAGCGTTTTACATTTGCTTTCATTTTTCTTCCTAGACGTTTCGCAAGTGTGCTGCGTATCGCACGAAATGAATCATTCATGAGCTTGTATAAACAAATAAGCTGGATCGCGCAACGGCAAGCCGGGAAATCCGAAATGCAAAAATATACCAGAGCTATTTCTTTTTAAACAGCGCATCACTGTACGCTGACATGTTTAAGAAACGAAGATAAACCTTTTCTCGACACACACGGTATTTGAAATTGTTACCAATTTCAAATACAAACGGCAGAAAGGCGTATTGCGCGCAACTTTGATACACGATGTTTGCCCGCTATTTCATTAAAATTTTCCTATAATTGCGAAAGCTTTTACCGTTTGCGTCGATTCAAAGCGGTTATCAACATTTTAGCAAATGAAATTTTCCGAGTATGCGAAAAACGCTGTTCGATTGAAAAAGTATCCTACGGTAAGAAAACGATCGAGGGACGGCTAAGATGAAAGACGAAGCAGATGAGAAGAAAGTAGGAAAACGGGAAGAAAGAGGAAAGGTGGATGCAGCGGTTGCGAAATGAGAGGATCGATAACCATCGTCATGGCGACCATAGCATCAACTAGTCTTTTACTCCGACAGACTCTCTGTTTCTCTTCTCCTATATTTTCTTTCACCTCCTGAATTTTCGATTTCTTCGAAATTTGAAAGAATTTAACGGAATTTGTGTGGAGGCTGGAGAAAAATTCTGAGAAGATGCAAACGAACGTGTTGGAATATATGAATATTGCAAGGTTCCTTCGGGTCGACAGCTGGACCGTTAGTTAAGGGAGCCCGCAAAGCGAGAGCTACGATAGACCAAGTAATTTACGGTATCTGTTGGTGAGGATGCTTTGATGCACGAAGCTCAGTGAACTCTGCAAACTTTACAAGGTGACTGATTCCGATGGAACGGTAGAGAGTTCTAGAGTACAGAGAATCATCCAGGTTTCCTCCTAACTTAAGCAATCGCAGCTTGCCTAGCTTAATTAAACATCGGCAAAGGCTGTAAAAATGACAAA